GTTGTGTGAAGAGGTCTCTGAACACGAGTCAATCCATTCCTGCAATCAAAACACATTATTCATATTAATAACAATGAAAACAAACCAATCATTTTATGGGTGGACACTAAACATATACAGCGTTTCATATCTAATGAAATACATTTAGATATAAAGTTGGTATTATTTGGAGGTAATTATTGATTGCAAAATAATTGCTAACAACATTTAAAATGTAAACTAAACTAAATATCAATTTTTAATCGTCTAAATAAGCAAATATTTAATTATGGCATGAATTTGTCTAAAATGGACAAAGAATAGCAATTATTTCATTAAATTTAGGAATTTTAATATAAAAAATGAATAATTATATAATTTAAATACCATTCAAACAATGGTTTCTTTATACAGTGTATATGACTATTAATTATTAAAAATTCATTAATTGAAAGTTTGCCGACAAATATGAAAAGGCAATGAAATCTTGTTTAACGACAGAAGCAAACATCGATTTACTGTAAGCGCAAAGCAAAGCCTTCATTATATTGTTTGCTAACAAAACCCAAAATTTATTGTCAAATTATTTGTCATAATATTGACCAAAAGAATTGACAAATTATAGTAAAAATCAGCAAAAATATAAAAATGCTTTAAAAGATGTTCACATTTATGAAATCCATAGCTTAAGCATTTCAAATATGAGAATAAATATTTTGATGAAAGTGTCCGCAACTGTCTGTACAATCAAATGTACTGTACTTTATATATAGAGGCACTCATTCATAGACTCTAACATTGTTTGCATAGGATTTCAGTGAGTGCGAGAGAGAGAGAGAGAGAGAGCTAGAGAATGGCAATGAGAGTGAGTGCGAGAGAGAGAGAGAGTCGATTGAATTAAAGGAAAACTTATAAGATATCGTGAATATATTGTTCTGTTTCTCAATACAAATATGAGAATAAATATTTTGATGAAAGTGTCCGCAACTGTCTGTACAATCAAATGTACTGTACTTTATATATAGAGGCACTCATTCATAGACTCTAACATTGTTTGCATAGGATTTCAGTCAATAAAATGAACACTTTTTCACGAACTTGTGGTTAACACGTAATGCCAATACATTTTCTATAATCTCAATAAATTTGTAATTATATTATAAAAATAATAAGTAATCAAACAAATCCATTATTATTGTTATTACATAATAAATAATTCAATTGTGTCTACAGTTGTTACAGTTATTTATAATTTACAATATAATATTCATTAAAACAATTATAATAAAAAAGTATTAATTTGTATGAATTCTATATTAGAGAAAATGTTTTAGATGTGTAGAAATAATATTATATAAATTATTTGTCTTCAATAAACTTATTTATGATTCATTTGGAAATATTTTAGTGTTAACTCTATTACGACAAAAGCTATAAAATATTTTTCGTCTTTTAATTAATTATTTTGGCATTAATTCACTTATTTATGGCATAAATCTAGTCATGACTTGAAATATTGAATAACATTTATAATAATTGTTAAATTAATTCCGGAAATCGATTTGTTTTAATTAAAATTCACTCAATATTTACATTATGAAAGCAAATTAATTAAGGATTTTTCACTTTTACTCAAACTCTTCGTTTATTTTATTAATAAATGTCAAAATGCAATACAAATTTTGAGTAAACGACACCAAAGTTATCGCAATTTCACGGTTTTAATAATATTTACTATTAAACTAAATTGTGTGTCGAGTGGTGTGTCTACTAATTGAATCTATTTATTGGTTATTCAAACACATATTATTAGCAAAAAAGATAATTCGCTTCAATTGTACCCCATTTTCTCAATAAAAGCTATTTTTATATATAATTATAGAGAACTCTATAGAGAAGAGCCAATAGTAATGTTTTACAAAAGAGTTTTAATCAAAGAGTTCCTCAAATAAATTGCTTTCATTTTTAGCGAAAATCAATTGTAAGAAAACAACCAAAAAATGAATACAAAGACTCTTCGATCAAAAAAGCGTTTCAACAAAACTTATCATTTAATGTATTCAATGAATAATAAAATAAGTTTTCTCACCGTTTTTGGTGTCCATCTCTCGGTTAAAACAAAGTAAATACTCTTTTTTTTGTCGTTTTAAAAAGTGTTCATTAGATGTGAATAATTAAGAAAAAGGTGTAACAGAGAGTCAGTGGAAGTCATGTGTGGGTTATCGACAACACGAACGACACATTAGAATAAATGCCACAATAATTGGCAATTGAGACGAAAATAATAGATATTTTGAGTAAAAACATTGTAATTGAATAGGAATTGAATCGACACTCAAGTTATGTATGCATTGAGTGTCTGTTAGAGTATTTCCAGAGAAAAGACTTAATTATGAGTAAAAATAAGATTTTGAACAAATGTTTTATTTAAGAAATGCAATATTTTTCTTACATATAACTTAAACAAAGGCTGGAAACAAATATATGTTAATATGTATTTCCGATGAATTAGTTTGCGTTATGTATGCCTTCAAGTCTTGTTTAACTCAATTAGAGAGAAAACTCATATTATTTACAATTTTCCCACAATTTATACAAAATATAATAAAGAAATAATATTAATAATAATAAATCCTAAATAATATAATTAATAGTTTTTATTTGTATATCACATAAACTGTTTATATAATACATGGGATAAAAATATAATAACTACTGAAAATCTAATCATTTTTATCAAATTTTTCATTTTGAAAATTCATTTGCATTTCATTCAGAGAACTAATCCTTATTTCAGAATCACTACAATTTGTGACAATCAAAGAGTTGTGTCTCTCGTCATCCATATGTTGTTCGTCTTCATAGTGTCGGTTGGGATAATCGGGTGGACATATGGACGAGTCGTACCCGCTTTGCTGATTGGCTGACGCCTCGACAATGAAATGATATAGTTTTGAATACTTCTCTCTCGCCATTTCCCGCAACATCAAGAGCTGGTCGTGTTGTGTCTCCAGTGAGTGCTTCTGTGAGAACATACCGTCCACTTCGTGCTGAAGACCCAGTATTTGATCCAATTTTCGCTTCCGACAGTTCTGTGCCGCCACTTTGTTCTTACCTTAAATTACATACAATATGTCAAACAATAGCAACACTTCGTTAAAACAACATTTTTTAATGAAATATAATTTCATTACGAATAAAAGTAAACGAAAATAAAAAGATTATAATTAAAAAATCGATTAAAAAGAATGAAAGGAAAAGTGGAATAAAAGGGAATGAAATGGTGTCCAAGAAATGTGTGAAAGAAGTGAATCAAACGTATCGTAAGATAAGAAAGTTATAAGAAATGAATGGATGTGTGAATTCATACCTCGTCTGCGAATATCTCTGATGAGTGAGAGCTGTGCCTCATTTAACTCATATTTAGCTAATCTTTCGTTGAACTCATCGATCGGCAGATTTATTATATCGTGTGTTGCGATCGGAATTCTCAGAGCTTTGGCACGTTTTTCGTCTCTATTGAGCTGTTGTTCTTCAGTCAGATTCTCAGAGCCGTCAGAACTGTATTTGCGAGTACTTCTGGTGGAACAGCTCTTTGTGTTGGCCCACTGCTCGTGAATGGCAGACAAGGCATCCATTGTGGCGGTGGAGGGAACACCACTGCCACTGAGCTCCGGGTTGTGTACGCTCTGCATGTGATACGTATGGTTGTGAGAGACCGACGAAACCGACGGCCCATTCATTAACGAATTGTGATTTTGTGCCGTTTGTGGCGACAAATCTGTGTAACAATAGTTGTCAGACATGCCATTAGTATAGCCATCAGAATATGAGCCATTGGTTTGGAGTTGATTTGGGTCCTCAGTTCTCGAGCTCTGAACGCATTCATAGCTCTCTTCTTTGCATTCATTCCTTCGACCGAATAATTTATACTTCTTTTGAGCGCTATTTGTATGACACAAACGATAGCCATTTGATGCCATTCTAGTGCTGTATTCGCTATGGTTTGGGTCGCCGTTGTGTGAAGAGGTCTCTGAACACGAGTCAATCCATTCCTGCAATCAAAACACATTATTCATATTAATAACAATGAAAACAAACCAATCATTTTATGGGTGGACACTAAACATATACAGCGTTTCACATCTAATGAAATACATTTAGATATAAATTTGGTATTATTTGGAGGTAATTATTATATTGAAAAATAATTGCGATCAACATTTAAAATGTAAACTAAACTAAATATCAATTTTTAATTGTCTAAATAAGCAAATATTTAATTATGACATGAATTTGTCTAAAATGGACAAAGAATAGCAATTATTTCATTAAATTTAGGAATTTTAATATAAAAAATGAATAATCGTATCATCTAAATACCATTCAAACAATGGTTTCTTTATACAGTGTATATGACTATTAATTATTAAAAATTCATTAATTCAAAGTTTGCCGACAAATATGAAAAGGCAATGAAATCTTGTTTAACGACAGAAGCAAACATCGATTTACAGTAAACGCAAAGCAAAGCCTTCATTATATTGTTTGCCAACAAAACCCTAAATTTATTGTCAAATTATTTGTCATAATATTGACCAAAAGAATTGACAAATTATAGTAAAAATCAGCAAAAATATAAAAATGCTTTAAAAGATGTTCACATTTATGAAATCCATAGCTTAAGCATTAAGGGATATGACATGAATGTAAGCTTACATTATCCGAAAGCGAGTGAATCCTATCGGAGCTCATGGAAGAGACGGCTGAATCACTGCTGGCATCCATAATATCTTCGGTAGCGTTAGTGATAACAGTCTGGTTGTGGTGATGAGGAATATAATGATGAGACGGCATGTGATAGTGTGATAGCGATTGATTATTAGCGGCCGTCATCTCAATCATATGTAAGTCTTCCTCAGATAATAAGTCCGTCAATAAGTACTCAGAATTGTTGTGATTTGAGAGTTGAGTGGAAGCGTTGTTCACAAACACCAAATCATTCATATCAGACCCATAAATAGCTGAAGTGCAGCCCATCTCGGGAAGAGGTTCACTGCCATTAGTTAGCGTTGCCATCGAGGATATCAGTGCCGCTCCGATACCCGACGGAACTGTATATCAATTTCAAGCGCTTTTAATAACAAGTTTTATGTGTTTTGATATTTAAACGAATTCTAATCATAATTTAAATAATCTAACAATTATTAAATATTAATATATTTCATATAAACGCTATTCAGACTAATGACATGCTATAGTTGTTAATATTCTAATTGTGATTTCAAATAACATTAACTTAATATAATTACTATTAGACAATTATCATAAGCAATATTGAACAATGCATCGACTCTATTATGTAAGGTTTAATATTTATTGCAAAAAACTACAAATTAAAAACTGACCATAACTTGTGTTAATTGTGAATGTAATGTAAACTCAATGATAGATAAAATGTGAATTAAGTTATGGGACATAAATATGATGTAAAGGTATACTGACCGACAAGACTGGACGGGTTGTAAGTATTGGGCAATTCATAACCACTGCTGTGTTCGAGGGAACGGTTATCTCCATTAAGAGTAGTAATGCTTGAATTGTTGTCATAATAGAGGGACGACTGAATATCTTGAGAGTCAATAGGCATTGGCATTAGTGATACATTGGATGGGTATAAGTGTGAGCCCGACGTTTGCCAGCCATCAGCGAATGTCAGATCAGAGTTTGCCTATAATTTGGTTACGATAACAAAATGCAATCAAAATATTTTTTTAAGTATAACTAAAATTATTATTCAATTCTCATTTGCGTTGCGTTTCGTATAAATTATAGCCGCGTTTAGGGCTTATTATTTAAATATATAAATATGTATTGAGGGGTTCATAGAGTTTACTAAATAGACACCAATCAGTTGTCTAATATTTACGGTAAGTGTGAGGCACACAAAGCTCTCAAAAACCACACGTCTGTCTATCGGACATTAGATCTATGCAATTCTCCATAACCTTATGAATGCCAACATAGACTCAATATATTGGTCGCAAACTTACAATTTATAACAAATTAATATTATTCACATAACTATACTCACAAGAACTACAATCATCTTTTAATACACTTTTAATACGCTATTATTTCATTACTACTACACATTTAATGAATATAGTTTTGAATAATTGATTAATTCTATTGATTGAGTTAATGTGCAAATCATTAAAACAATATTTTAAAATAAAGGCAATCTTTGAATATGAAAAAATCAATATATCATTTCATTTATACGAAACAATACATGTCTTAATAAAAGGAGATAACAAAAAGTGATTGGAATCGGAAGACTTACCGCTCTTAGAGTTCGCGACAAAATTTGATTATGATTTTGATTGTGTTGTAAAAGATAGTAAGAACTTTGCGCCGGTAGTGAACACATGGTAAAAGTCAATTGATTTAATTGTAATATTAATACTTTAAATAATTCGACAAAAAATGATAATCAATATAACGAAAAGATTGTAAAGATATTGAAATCAATTTTCGTATTGTTAGCGATGAGTGACGGAGGATATGATGCCAACAAATGAGGAGTAATACGCAAATCATGCAATACTTGTACCCCAAACGAGAGGACAAACTTAAGGTATTGTCTCAACTAAATATCCAATTTCTTACAGGTATAAGAAAATAGTCAATAGATATATATTAGGATAGAGTAAGACTTCCGGAGGGGAGGTATAGAAGAAATAGATAGGCTATGCGACCCATCATAAGGTGGAACCAAACTTTGTTCACAAACTACACAACAAGACAAGTGTCTGTCCTATGAGAGCGGTGTTCACATCATAACCACTACACTATTTATTGCATTATTTATAACAATAATTCAATCACTCTTTGCCTTTAGATTCAGTTTCATATTTACAACATTAAAACAATGAAAATTGAATTAACAAATAACACAAATACAAATCATTTCAAGAAAACACAAGATTATCAATAGTTTAATCAAATTCTTGACAGGAATTATTCCGCAACATAAAAAATATCACATTTTCTTCTTTAAGTGAATAAATGATTGAAAATAAGTTATTATATTCGGAGTCAATAAAAGAGATTTGCAAACCAAACAATTGAGAGCTATATTGCCAACTGTTATAATAGGAGAAACATAACAAATAGTGTGTATTTTGTCCAAAAATGGCAAAATGAGGTCATTCTAGCAATTTATTGGTTATATTTAATCAAATTAAACAATGTATTGAAAAGTCAAATGAAGAGTAAAACCACTGTAAGGCAACTGTAAGCCAACTGAATGGCTTGCATGGTATGGTATGGCATGGATTGCATCACTTAATGTGATGCCACAACACGAGCACTTCAGGCATTTATGGGGACATAACTAACAAACCAGAGTCTAATCAAACAATCAAATGAAATCATAAGTATTGAGAATATGTTGCAAAACATGTCAATCCTTCAAAAATAGCGATTCTCTTCGCGTTCCGCATCGACAGGAAGTTATTCTTTAGTTCTTTCACACAATTCGCTATTAAAACTCAATACAACCAAAGCTCAGGTACTGTTGGCTCGGGTGGAGGAGAGGGTCCAGAGATGGGACACTCCAGCGATCGAGACGTGAGAGTACAACAAATACACGCATTAACTCTTAGACTAACTTAACATTTAATATGTAATAAACGTATTCTAAACATACGATACGATAATCTAATATTGTTTGCATTCTTAATAGACGTGGACTTCCATAACATATGCCAATTGTAATCAAATATGCCTTAACTATAGACCCCAGCGGTGGCCTATCGAGTGCTCAAATTGTCATATGTTTGGCAGCAAAGGATCGCCCTTAAGGTCCGAAAGAAGAACCGTTTCTTATATAAGAAAGTCATTCACTAGTCAACTAATCGTTGATAAAATTACGTGACTTATTGTGTATTGAGTTATTCATAGCAATGACTTCCTATAAATGTTATGAAAACTATTAAATGAGTTAATGAGTTAAAAGTGCAAACATTTCAAACATTTTAAATCTAATAACAGTTAATATACTGTATATAAAGTATTGGATGTAATTCGCTGTTGAAGTAAGTCTTTTCAATTAGTTATATTACGGTTTATATGTTGTAATGCGGGTTGTAAATGATAATATTTAGGTCTATTTAATTTTTAAGATAATGATCTTCGACCATCGGCCTATTCACTAAAGTAATCATCTACTATCTACTATTGTGTCATCAATTTTTCAATTTTTTAATTGAAGATTAAACTAAATTTTAAGACCAAAATCGAAAGACACCCCCGATTTGATGACATCTGCCATTTTTAGCACCATTTCTCTCACACACTTTAGAAATGATGGGTATCTGTGGTAATCAGAAGGGGGTATATCAGTGTTGAAGGCAGTGTGGGTATAAATTTTATATCCCTTCTTATTAAACTTTAATTGCGTTTTTATTTTAAAAATTACTTTTTTAGGGAATTTTTTAGCGTTGAAATAATGTAAAAACACCGTTAATTTAATCTCTAACCGTTCTTAAACATATCTAAGTGATTCTCAATAGTCTATTCCCTGCATCCCTACCCTATGAACATATCTTCAGCCAACATGTTTGGCATCGGAGTCCCGAACCAGTTTCAACACTACCGATAAGTGACC